CATAATGGTTTTGTCTTGGGGATTATCCCCCTATGACAATCAATTCATCACAATGACGTTTGGAACTTCCTTCCAATTTCCTGGATAAATCATCCAATGAAAGACGTAAAACTGCCCTAATGATGGTCAGATATAATCGGACATTTAAACCATCACTTTTCAACCAATGAAAGAAAGAAAACTTGATAAATAATGCTCAAAGACAATCCGTCATTCAACTGGTCAGTTTTCAGCGGGAGCAGTGAGCCGACCCTTATTGTCTCTGTTTGAAGTAAGCAATTTGTCAAGTTAAAGCAGTGGTCTTTTGTTGACCAGTGGTCAGTGTGAATACAGTGTTGGTCAGCAGACAGTTTTATACAGAACAGTGATCAATTTTTTTTATACCGAACAGATGTCATAACTTATCATGCAAGTTCCACATGCACTTGGAGCCTCAAACCAAATTTATCATCAGAGTTTCTCTACTGTAACTAACCACCTAAAAGTTTGCAACCCTCCCTAAACTGTTCCTTATTTTCTCCTAGCCTGTTACATTCTTCTCATAATGGTGAAGTCATTTCACCTAATTATTCTGAAATCTGTCTCGTAGGAGTACAGTTGGCTATACCCCACCCAGTCCCCGAACAATGAAGTGACATCAACGCGTGATCATCCGAGGTGTATTAGATGCTGACAGCGTGACAAAGGACAAAAGAGTCTGTCAGCGTTAATGCATAATGTACTATATGCAGTGGGAGGCACTCCCTGGGAAGGTGAGGGGGAAAGAGTCACAGAAGAAGATGGAAGTATCATGAGGATGGAATGCTCTGATCACTGCATGAGGACAGTATAATGATTCTGTCATGGAATAATTCTCCAATTAAAATTGTTAAATATTTCAAAAATTTCTCTTTCCTTCTGAAATATTCATTTGTTAATTGATCATCCTGACCACTCTCTCTCNGTTCCACATGCACTTGGAGCCTCAGACCAAATTTATCATCAGAGTTTCTCTACTGTAACTAACCACCTAAAAGTTTGCAACCCTCCCTAAACTGTTCCTTATTTTCTCCTAGCCTGTTACATTCTTCTCATAATGGTGAAGTCATTTCACCTAATTATTCTGAAATCTGTCTCGTAGGAGTACAGTTGGCTATACCCCACCCAGTCCCCGAACAATGAAGTGACATCAACGCGTGATCATCCGAGGTGTATTAGATGCTGACAGCGTGACAAAGGACAAAAGAGTCTGTCAGCGTTAATGCATAATGTACTATATGCAGTGGGAGGCAATCCCTGGGAAGGTGAGGGGGAAAGAGTCACAGAAGAAGATGGAAGTATCATGAGGATGGAATGCTCTGATCACTGCATGAGGACAGTATAATGATTCTGTCATGGAATAATTCTCCAATTAAAATTGTTAAATATTTCAAAAATTTCTCTTTCCTTCTGAAATATTCATTTGTTAATTGATCATCCTGACCACTCTCTCTCTCTCTCTCTCTCTCTCTCTCTCTCTCTCNTTGATCATCCTGACCACTCTCTCTCTCTCTCTCTTCTTTCCACTCTCTCTTTCTCTATCTTTTTTTCTGATGAAAACAGAAACCACCCACAAAAGATGCTAAAACATACACTTTTCAAACTCCAATAAAATCCTACACTCATCAAAACCCCAAGTCATCAAATCATCATGAGACATCAAACAACTACACCTTTTAATTAACTGGACTTGATAATTGAAAACCACTTGGATTGCAGAACTGAATGCTGGACTCCACTGGTTGAGGTAAATGACCATGTAAAAGGAAATAGGTCGTAAATTTTGGGACCTTCTTTGAAACTGACCACAGGATCCCGCAGGGACCAGGAGTGGGATAAAGATATTCTTGACCTCAAGTATCTGCTGTGATTAGTCTTCTTTCTATCTTTATCAGTATCAACATGCTTTCAGAAAAAAATTCTCTAAATTAATATCTTTCTAAGTCTGCGAAGTTCTGATCAATGATCCAGGTTTGTAGAAATTTTTTTTACCCTACTTTTACCCTTGGAAAAAACAGCAGTTACATATGCCGCAAAAACAATTTACAAGTGTTTTTTATCATCGCGTGGGATAAAAATCAAAACGAACTGCAAAATTAGTGTATTTTTCCAAGAATGAAGAATCCCTGGAATTTTGAAGACGTGAATCAAGTGATAATGTGATTTTATCTTGGCAACACAAAGAAACCATCTTGATTAGTCTACCTCCAGGATGATTTCTAACAGTCTCCAATCATTACCACATTCTTCAATTATCACATTCAGGTTCATTAAAATCCCATCTGCTTGTTTTGAAGCAATCAAAAAATACCCTTCTCAGAAATACTTTTTTCTATGTATTTTCCATGCCATGTGATTACCTTCATCATCGAACATTTTTCAAAAACAAAATCTGTATCAAGCATTGCTTTTTATGCATATATGTATGTTTGTAGTGCTTGTTTAGACAAAATCATTGGAAATGGGAACTGTGATATATCACCTCCCTGGTATACTGGTTTAATATTCATATTCCCAGAAAATAAAATAATAATGCTTTTAGAATCAACAAAATGTTAAAAATAACTTCATTTGTGGTATGTGTGTGTGTGTGTGTGTGGGGGGGGGGGGGGGGGGGAAAAGAGTTCCTAACTGTCTGGATGCATCTAAGGAGGGACGAGCAAAACAGACAAAATTTACTCAATGAACTAATTATGAGAGTACCCAACTTCAAGGGTATCTGGTGTCTTGTCAGTGCTTTAATCTACCTCTTCACTCAAAGGGAGGAATACCGAATAGCTTTGTGTTAGCTTTGTTTTACAGGATGTATTCAAAATTCACTGTCATGTTCAATCACAGTCTGAGAGATAAAACAAGTGCTGGTTCTTCACGGGTCAGTTGGCCTGAATTAAACTGTGATATCCCTTCTAAAGGGATGGTTTGTCTGAACTTTTTTTTTTTTTTTTGTGTGTGTTGGACTAATTTTCTTCTACATTTCAAGGAAGAATAAAGCTGGATATGAGAAAAAAATTAAACCCCACCCACACAGTAATGAATTATCTTTTAAACAGCAACCAAACTCAGTGTTTCATATTTTCATGATATCTTCATTTTCAGTGACTCAATTTGAATGTGCCCTTTTGAATGTACTATTCCACCCAAACCCAATATTATCAACAGTGTTTAACATTTTTTAAATAATCTTTCTTCAGATTCTGTCCGGAAATACATATGACAATTTGTACGAATTCAGTAAGTTTCTGAACTCAACTTCAAATCAGCTGATGGCACATCAGTGCCTTTAAGACTTGTACCTTGGGTAGCTAAATTTCTTAAACCAGCAGTGCATATAATATTTGCAAGGTTTTTAAAAAATCTGAAGGAAGTATTGTTCACTTGTGTGGGAGTTATCTTCGGAAATATGTTCCTGTAACATTAATTTCTTTAAAGATAACAGTATAAGTGTGGGTGTTTTTTCTACTAAAGATTCAGCATTATGCCTTGAGGGTTGCAAATATGATATCATTCCAGATGTGCAGATCTTTTGTTCATCATTTTATTAATGGAAGAAAAACACCTGAGAATCCCAAAGAATCTTACATCATATCATAAGTTTGTGTGTTAGCGTGTGTATGTGTGTACATGCTTATGTATGTATGTGGGCATGCAATAAAACATTCAAAAACTTGATTAAATAAGTTTATTATAGATGTAAAAAAGAACTAGTTTCATTGAAAAGAATCTGTACTTTATTACAAAATGAACATACCCCAGCTAAAACATAAGAGACTCCCCCCCCCTCCCATAAATGATTTCTTTTTGATTAGTCAAAGAAGATTTTGCTGGTTTTTGATAACAATATTAATAGTTGAGCAATGGAAGTCATTTTGGGACATTCATCCAATAAAATATTCAATTCTAAAAATATAACCTTGAATAATTTTACAGTGTCTGTGACAGAGTTTTTTCCTTGAAACAAATCATTATCAGTTGGTCTTTCTATAACTTCTGGTGATATATAACAATTTTCCCAGCAAAACGAAATACTTTGTTTTTTAATAAAATTGAGAGATGAGTCAAAAGTTTCCTAAAAACTTATGTGCTAATTGAATGTTATGCCGTTGGAGACCATGAAGTTGAGTGAGTCACTGTGGGATTCCATTTGATCATGTTCCCACCTCATAGACCATGTTTTGTAAATAACAACACCCTTAATCTTCTGCTAGAAAAATTAATATACAAATGGGCCCGTATGTCCAAACTTAATGCTGCTGATTTTTTTAAAGGAATACCTGTTGTTTAAGGAGGGTAGTTTCATGTGCTATTAACTCATCAGTGTATGCTGACGGCAAGTGTTTCATAGTTCTTATCAATGCATAAATTTTATACTCTCTCTTGCTCTGATTCACTGGTCCCCGATTCACACTATCGCAGCAGCTGTGCAATTGATGTATTTAAGTCAGAAGTCACGTCTGATGCTGAACAAACACCATTCAATCCAATAAATGGTATTAGATAAAGTACTAGAATACAGTTGTACAAACAAAGATGTTCAGTACAAAGTGCAGTATCATCTTAGGCAAATGTTTCCTAGATATTTTAGGGTTGTCTTTGACTACCTTCTTTCTTCATCTCTACAGTTTTTCCCTATTCACCATTATAAATAAGTTTCTTGTTTCCATTTGAGATTTTATTTTAAACAATGGGGTGAATATTCTAATCTAGTTCATAACAAAATCATAATGCATACAAATTTTTCATATATTCATTTACAGAAGTTAGTACATATTCTATATCTTTCCTATCTATACTTAGTAAAACCTATGAGTGCTCAGTCTGCCTGTTAAAAATATATATATTTTTTAATTTTCAAGATATGAAAGCCAACAAAATATGATTTTAAAAGCATGTACCTGGCTCAGCTCCCAGGTTTGTTTTCTTTTCTTTTTTTTTCAAATTTAAACCAACAGATTTTCTCTTCAGACGTGAAATAATCTACTCACCTGGTCGTCTGCTTGCACGGCCATGAGATTCTGTTCTTGCCTCGAGAGGGCGCTGCGGACGTACTTCATCCAATTCCCTGTTCCTGGGTCACTAGCGTCTACCCAACCTTGGACCTTACCAAACTTATCAACTATCTGTAAAGAGAGAAAAGATAAAGGAACATTTATTTTGGATTTCTCTGTTGTTTATAGTTTTGATTTTCATCTTTAAACGACTTATAAAAGAAATCTCTATGAACTTGGCAGCTGTCAGAAGAAATCTGACAGAAATAGAATTATGAAATCAAGTTTTATGTTTTACATTGTTAAGTGTTGTCTTTTAGAATACTGTTACCAAAATCCAGACTACACGTAAGACACCCCATGCAGGCCAATACATTTTTGTTTAATTCCCCTTTGTTTTATTTTGTAAACTTTACAATAACAACTAATAATGTTATGCATAGTCTTAAGCATTACAATAACAATAACATAACTGGAATTATCAAAATAGATCACATTTCGGTCGAATATTTTTGCAACTGTTTTCTCTGCAGGAACGCTACCTAATATTGCTTCTGTTCAACCTAAACTAAATTGTCCTAAGATGAAAGGAAACACCAAAGAATTTATAAAATCTCTGTACTGGGTAGAATAATGGAGAGATGAAACACTAAAAAATGATTTATCAGAATGCTATAAGAAACTGGACACATTAAACATTTGAGCGATTAAAACAATAAAAAAAAATTAATACTACATCTGGAATATTTGAAATTTTCATTTTTTTTTTTTTTCAAAAATTCAAACCACTGTCTGCGTTTGATAGGAAGTGTGTGGGAAAATGAAACTGCGTGTGAGCAGCCACGACAACAAATAGATAAGACATGTACTGAGATATAAAACCTTCATCCCATTCCATCATTACATCAATCAACTGATACATGTACACAAAGAAAAACTGGAAGCGATTTGTTGGGTTTTTTCCTCCTTAAGTTTAACATTTCATCCACCCTTTCTACTGCAGCATCCCAGCTTTTTTAATGCTTTTGATCATCATTAAAAAACAAAGTCAGTTAGAAAAGTAATTATCAATTAAAACAAAAGCAGTAGACGCTATTTATCTATTATCTTCTCTTCTGTAATTATCATCGATGGGAAATGAAACAGATCTATGCATTAGCCCCCCACGTTTTATATCAAATGTTTTTCCCTTACAGGCCCAAGGGGTAAATCAATGGCACTACATACTCTCTCTTTCAAAAAAAAATTGATTATGTTTGAATAATTTTTACTGATGTACACTTTATCTTTTTCACTCACCTATACCACTTTCCCTTAATCATTTTTTTACTTCCACACAAATTTTGTTCCAGCTTCTGCTGTCATTAGTAACTTATACTATCAAATTCCTTTGTTATTTTCAAATAAAGCAGCTTAATTTTGGTACAATGTAATGTTCCTTTTGTCTTTTGCACAAAATATATACATATATCTCACAAAATAAACTTTCATTAAAGTTAAGCTTAAAAAAAAGATCAATTGAACATGTTTGTGTACTTTATATGCCTTTGTATCATATTTAATATCATATCTAAAAAACTTACAGAATTACGGCAAATATAGCTAACTCATACCCACTACAGTTTCACATCATATCATATCAAATATTGTACCTAAGAAAGAATTACAACTAACATGTACCCTCACACTTTCCATGAACTCACAAAACCATTCTATAATCAATCTAGCCAATGATCAAGTCAGCTAATTAAGAGCATAGGATCCCTTCTGTAATGAGACCAAAGCTTTCATAATTATGCCCAGAGCAATCTGGTGATTTAAATTAGGTGGAATTTGGTCTAATGCCAAAATCTGAAAAAAAAACCTTTGCAGAGCTAAAATGAAGTATATAGAATTCTTTGTATCATCTCTTAGATTAGTTTTCAAAATTGAGGCTAAAACATGTATCTGTCTTCTGCATTGAGGCAAGTCCAGAAGTTGATACACTGTTCAAATATGATTTAATAACCAATATTATAGCATCAATGATTGTAGCGAGGGGAGAATTGAGGTGATTCATCACAAAAATCATGTCATTCTTATCTGTAGATGTCAAAGCGAGTTGACTTTAGCTCATAAGGTTGACACAAATGAGAAGTCACGTATGGAAACCAAGTCCTGGTTCTACCATCTGAATATTAATCACGTCAAATTGAAATAAATCTTAATCGATATATAAACCAAGCTGTGACTACTTATGTTGGTTGTACTTACTACTTTTGTGGCAAAGATATAAGCATATCATAGTTCACTATTTAGTTGTCATGGTCAAATAGATGTCTTATTTCTCCATTTCCTTCTAGTTTGTGTAAGAGCTACTCTCTTCATAATGTCACCCCAATTATTTGCAGCTCATATAATTGAACCTACGATGATCTTTTAAAAGTGATTAACTTATCTTTGTGATTGTGTTTCAAAGATAGACTTTGGGCATTGCTCTCATAATCAAGTTTTTTTTTTTAATGGAATTGGCTGAGTGGAAGATGGGCAGACAGAGAGTGGAGGATGATCAACACCACTAGATGATTAAGATCTCTTAGAACATTATCTATCATGAGAAACTGGGACGGAAATGCCTCCACAGAAACAACCATTATCAAAACAAGCTAATGTTGTTGAAAAAACGACACCAGCTATTTACCATAAAAAACTATACTGTTTAATAACTGACATGAAAGCGTTACAGCCTAATGTGTAAAATGTGTTATTAATGCAATTAATGAAAAGGGTCTTACGCTGACACTGACAAGGAATTACATTTACGATTTCCACATGTCAGTGCAACATGGGGGTGCAAGCCATACGCTCCTGAAAAAAAATCATCTCTTAAAGGAATTTTCTTCCTCTTCTGTTTAAAACTTCTGGTTTCTGATTACACATACAATTAACATTAACAAAGTTGACAGAAGAGGCTGCTCACACAATGTGTGGAAACATGCACCATGTTTGCAGAAATATACCAGTTTTTAGATGTAACAGAAACTATGGCAATGATAACATTTACTGATGCACAAAAAGCAATATTTTATTCCATTGGAATAACACTGTCAAATAGACATTTAAACAAGCCTTGGCTACATTCACTGCTTTCAACTGAAACAAAATTTCAGGTTTTATACTGTTTCTTAATCCTTTTAACTTCTTTATCAATGCCATAACTAAGAAACTAAACTGCCTGAGTGTTTAAATGATAAAGAAGAAAAAAAAACAACATCCTTTAAAAGAAAACTTCTAATAACCTCTGCTGCCCATCTTCTAATTTAAATACACACATTGTAAATCAGCATGTAATGCATTCCAAGACTGAAAAGCATGCATTTTAAGAGTCAACAAAAAATTACCAAAAGAACATCTTTACCTCACAAAATGATAGCAGCGCTAGAAACCACCGTCTGAGTCAGAAAGATTCTCCGCCAGTTTCTGCCTACTGTCCTCCTTAACTTAACAGGTGTCTGTGCAGCTTCACTAACATGTAGCGACTACCTGCCCAACTTGACTTGAGTGGAAGCATATGTTTGGTGGTTGGTCTGATTGGTTGATATTAGATTACCCACAGATTTCACCACCAGAGTGCAGTCCAGTCACTAAAGAGTGGCTGACAGCACAGATGCACTTTTATAACTGAGCAAATACTTTTCTTCGCAGTTTTCAGTAGGCCATCTTGCTATGGATGGCCTGCACTTTGTTTTTTGGCATAGGCTGTGCTTCTAATCTTTTCTTTTTTACTCAATTGTATTCTATTAATAGATTGCTTCACTTTTGCTGTATATCATTTTTGCTCTGAGGTATTATGGATTAATATACCGGTATATATTTGTTTTATTTTGAGGACTTAAATGCTGGAAACCCTGCTTGGTTTAAATGTTGATGCTGTGGTCTACTACAATTTCTGTGTTATGTGGCTGTTTTGACAAGTAAAGCTCAAGTGTCTGTCTGTACTGCAAGTCACAGGATGCCTTAAAACCTTGTGTGTCATTTGGATAAAATGGCTCAAATCAACAAGAAGAAAAATTAGAAGAATATTTTGTGAATATGCTTGAATTGTTAATTAAATAAAATATAAAAGAGAAGAAACTATGCAGTCTACATTTTTGTCAGTAATTCCCCTTTTAGGTATTATTTACTTTCCCAGCACAAAAAAAAAGGATAAACATTTTAGTGGGGAAAAATATACATTTCCTTCATCATTTTTCAAAACATCTTTTCTACAAAATCTTAAAATAACAGCCCTTCTGAATGGAAATAATTAGCATGGCTTGTCTTTGGTGACCTTACAGTTGTTAGGGTCGCTGGGTTGTAGCCTAATAACTGTAATGACTGGAACATACCCTCTATCACAGACAGTCATAACTTTTTGCCACTTTTCAGAGTACATTTATTCTTGAAACTATATAAACATACATGTACAGGCAAATATATATATTACTTTCTCTTACAGCAATAACTACCAATGACTATCATGATATCATTTCTTTAGTTTTAAGACTGGTGCATAAGACTAATTACAAAATATCAAGCCAATCATAGTAGTGCGTGTGCCTGTGTGCGTTTTTTTTTTTTCTTTTTCCTGCATGTGCATGCATGTGTGGTATCTCTTAATTACACATATGTGTTAAACTGTATCCAGAGACTGGTAAAATGTCTGAGCAAAGTAAATGCTACTAAATTACAACAATTGTCCCCTTGCGAGAGTATGAAAAGCTTTACATTCCACGAAAAGTCTGAAAACATCTTTTATCCAAGCAGTAAGGAAAACTGGATGAACCAACTCATGAGATTAAAAAAATGGATGTTATAAGATATATCCATGTACCACATTGACCAATAGGACAGCTTTTTAAGAGAGTCCTTTCAACAACTAGAGAGGGCTGATTAGGCATAGCACAACTATGTTTGTATTTCCTGTCAGCTACAACCCACTACTGTCATACCCAGAGACAAATTAACACTGGCACTGATTGGACAAATTCTAGCACCGTCTTGAGCCCTCCTTCCACCCCGACCAAATGGATGTACAAAGAGCATTTTGTCTGGAAAAAATGATGCGATTTTCTAATAATCTCAACACTCTGACAGGAGTAGGATGTTTTTGA